AGCCTGACGAAGGGTTTTTGAACCCGAAAGCTTGCTTAATAACTATTCTCCAACCATTTGGGTTGGTCTAATAAAAGATATCAAATTCACCCAAGGAACCTTGTCTGCCTATATCCTTAGACCAACACGGCTACAACCTAAACCCCCACAGCGTCTCATGTATTCAGCATCCTACACTTCAAAATGGCAGCAGGGGCACAAATGCCCCTGCCACCATTTTGAAGTGCAGGGATGCTGACTACGCACAACACCAAGGCTGCTGGAGCATGCTAATTAGATTGAGTCTGTTTCAATGTGTGCTAATTAACACACATCAGAGCAGGCATTGGGCATGTGTATAGGTGCCCCAAATGTCTGGCCATGATCAAAGTTCATGCGTGGAAATTGTGCCTGGGCTTCTGAAGGAGGTGGTTGAGAGCAAACAGAAATCCTCTTATTCCTCCAAAGACATTTTCTATTTCGAAACTCAAATGGCAACTAAACTTTTCTTAAGGTTCTAAAATGTTAAAATAAATGTGTGTGTAAAGAAACAGAAGCCATATTGTCATAAGAAAGATGGTATTTGAACTATTAGCAGATATGAACACAAAAGAAGTGCTATAAGCCACATAAAGAGGCCTTGTGAATAGAGTGCATTTTTCTTCAGGTCTGAAGAAAAAGCAGGCAAGGCAAGTGTTTTTTCCTCAGAACTGAAAAAGAATGCCTTGCATTTGAAAACTTATTTAAGTCTATATCCCAGCTATGCGGTTGGTCCAAAAAATATCACCCACAAAAATCCTTACCTCTCACATATTTCCTGGGCCATTGCAACTACAACACTGCTTCAACACTACTATTAAAGAGTCTGTTATAGAATCATAGAATCATGGAAAATTAGGGTTGGAAGGAATCTCAGGAGGTCATCTAGTCCAGCCTCTTGCTCAAGGCAAAACCAGCCCCAACCAGATCATCCCAGCCAAAGCTTTGTCTAGCCGGGTTCTAAAAACCTCCAAGGATGGAGATTCTACCACCTCTCTGGGTAAACTGTTCCAGTGCTTTACTACCCTCCTAATAAGACAATTATTCCTAGTATTAACCTAAACTTCCCCTGCTGCAACTTGAGCTCCTTGTTCTGTCAGCTGTCACCACTGAGAACAGTCTAGCTCTATGGTTTTTTGAACCCCACTTCAGGTAGTTGAAGGCTCCTATTAAATCCTCTCTGGGTCTTTTCTTCTCTAGACTAAATAGGCCCTCAGTCTTTCCTCATAAATCATGTCTCCCAGCCCCCTCAGCATTTTTGTTGCCCTCTGCTGGACCAATTTGTCCATGTCCTTTCTGTAGGGCAGCCATTGGGGGCTAGGCTGGGTAGGGGGGAGTCTGGGGATTGGGGATCAGAGGCTGTGATGGGGGGGCTCTGCCACATGGCCCCAGAGTCCCTGGTACTGCTGGTGAGCGCGGTTTTTGGGGTTGTTTTTTTTTATTCCCAGACTGCTGGGGCCAGGGGGGGCAGGGCGTGGGCCATCAGGGGTGGGGCCAGGCAGGGGAGGCAATTGGGACATGGGGTCTGCATGGGGAGGGGTTCTGCCAGGAGGCCCAAGAGCCCCCACAGTCCTTGCTGCACCTGGTGAGTGGGGCTTTTTTTTTATTTTTCCAAGTGCTGGTAGGCAGGGGCTGCATGGAGGATGGGGCTGGGGAGGGCAGCCCTGGGGGCTTCTTCTATGGCTCCCCCCACCCAGGGAGAGGCAGGCACAGCCAGAAGAGCCACAGGAGAACCTGCAGCTGCCCAGCTATGCCTGCCTCTCCCCATCCAATCTGAATCTCCGAATCAGCGCTGAATCTCCGATTCTGATTAGGCTGAATCGAATGGAGACACTGTCCTCCGAACTGGCCAAATCTGAATCGAATACTTCCCTATTTACACAGGCCTAGTAATTAACACACTCCAGCAGACTCGATTAATCGAGTATGTTCCAACTTATTGTAATTACAGCACATCAGAGCAGCCTCACTACTTGTGTATAGGTGCCCTTGAAAACTAGCCTACCTTCATTTCTAGTAGGACAATTGCAAAAACTATATTGACCTCAATTTCAATTTATAGCCTCTATGGTAGCAGTCAGTCAGGACAGTTTGACCTGCACTTTTCAAAAAACACTAGCATGCTGAATATTCTCCACAAAAAAAAAGTCTCCCCTCCCTTCCAACTAATGGCCATCCTGCATACACAAGATGCAAAAAGCAGAGCAAGAACATGACTCTACTAACAATAACACTGCAAGATCTTTCAATAATGCTTTTAATAAGAAGATTGTGAGCACAACTATTTTCTGCTACAAAATTCTTAAGAATAGTGTTATGGAACAGCAATAAGAGATTAATGGAGATCTTGCAAAAAAGGTAAATGGCATTACAAGAATACCAGAAAACTGGGGGGGAAAATTAATTGAACCTATAGATTTGATAAATATTTATTTTTTTGCAGAAGAAAAATGTATAGTAGTTTAAGCTGTCATTATGCTAAACTATATCCTATTTTTCATATTATTAGTAATACATAATGTGGTAGTTTATATTCAAAAATAAAACCAGAATGTATATACCTCATGTATTTATCCAGAAATACACCAAGGTTACTATGGTTACGAAAAATCCATTACCTTTGAATACAGAATGAAAAAGTTTGACTTAAAGTGTGCACTATTTATTATAGCAAACATCAACAGCCTTCAGGAGGTTCTCTAACTGGATTCATTTTTCAGTGTCAGAACTGACCCACCACACTAGTAGCTCATGGCCTGTGTAAGGCAAAAAAAAAAAAAAAAAATTGAACTGTATGCATTTTTAAATGTGTGTTGTACTAACTCTCAGCATAGAAATACCTCAGAGTTTTAAGGTCTTAAAAAAGAAAGAAAGACCCTGAAACCTCTTTATCCTGTGTAGATAGTGATTTGGAATGTTTTCAGTTTTACATATATCTATAGAAATACACAAAATTGTGACCAGCTATTACTTTTATTTCACTGTCACGAAGAGTTCATTTTTTCATTGGATGAAAAATCACGGTATAATTGATGAATTTGTGATACCTTAATTAAACAATAAGTTAAGCAGAAAATAAAATGTGAGAGGACTGGACACTGAAATAATACTCTGCAGCAGAGATAGTGATTCTATGAAACAGAATACTTATGTAACCCAGTCATTAAGACAGAGCATATAACTTATATTCTATTCCTACAATATGTAATTGAATGGGGACTATGCAGGGATGCTGTAGAATGCCTCCCTAGACAAGGACATACCTAGACAAGGCTCGCTACAGACATTCAAAGGGCCAAGGCAGGATCAAGCTAAGTTACATGGTTTTCTGTAAACGGCATAGTGCAGATAGGTAGCTAACAGAACACACATTCGCCCTGGAGCTGGGAGAGCAATTCTTAGACTGGGTTCTGCCATTTTTAAACCTGTCTGTGCAATCCAAACTTCTGTTCTGTTACGGGTATAGACTGATTTCCAATCATTTATACCAGTAAAAGTATCTGTACCTGGCCACAATTGTACACTTGAAAGACAGTAGGAAAACGTTATAGCTCCTACCTCATCACCAACAGTTTGCAAACTTGTTTTGCTAAAGCTTAGTATTGCCAATTCAAAGAACTTAAAAAAGTTAAGAGGTATCTTGAGTCCTGTGAGAAAGGACTGGGCAAGTTATACAGAATTACTGACATGGGGAGGGAGGGTTTTGGTTTTGGCGTAAAAAGACAAAGGCTGTCACAGCCAGACAACCCAGCAGGGGTTTAGTGGAAGAATCTATAGGCTCGAACTACCAGAGTCCCCAGATACGTAAATCTGCTTTATTGTTTTAAAAGTATGGTTTCCTATGAAGCATCTTTTTTTGCTTTTCTTTAAAAAAGACAGTTGGGTCACTGGTTACCCACCAAGAGAACAAAATATTAGGTGTTCAAGTTAAATCAAGCCTACCGAGATAATCAAATTAGCTTTGGAATAAGTGGGGAACTGCATCTGAGTTCTTGTCTGACAATGGGAGAATTGTCTGATTCTCCTTCCTTAGCCAAGTGATAGCTAGAGATGTCAGACTTGAAAAAAGATGCTCTAAGAAATGAGGAGAAGGCAAACATGCAATCAACCTGGTAATTAGGACAGGAGTACCAATATATAAAACTCACCTTTGACTATATATTTAGTTCCATTTCCAGTGTACATTGGTAAAGCATCCATATATAAAGTGTACTGTGTTATAATACCGTTCGGGTTTTTTGGCTGACTCCAACTCAGCAGTAAAGAAGTGGGGAAAGATATAGCTGTTGGTGGCTGTACATCTGTAGGGGCTGGAAAGAATATGTAAAACCCTAAAAATGTATAATAATAAATCAAATATGTAGTCCTAAAGCCATTATAAAAAGACTACCATGTCCATATACCAAATTATTTAACATTCTACACAGTAACAATAAATAAAAATAATAAGTAATGAGGCAAATGGAAAAATAATTCTTTGATAAAAGATTTATATAATTATTATTTGTTTGCTGATGGCAAATAATTATATCAGATAATACCCTATACTATATTAAATAAAAAATGAATGATAATCCCTTTAGTGAACAGTTGCTCTTAGGACAGTGCTCAAAGAACACTGTAAATTCATGAGGGTTCTTGAGCTGCAAAGTGTCAACATTTTTAAAACTGAACTATCAATAAGTGGGGTCACATAATCACTTGCCAGGCGAGAAAAAACATATGGATAAAACATGCCTGCCAGCAACAAGAGCTTACTCTAGTATGTGATTTATCTCTGGTGTCTTTTACCTTTACCTTGTCTGAAAATCCCTTGTGTATTCAAGTGACTTCTTCTGACAAGACAGGGAAATTCTCCATGCACCCTATAGAGCAGTGGATCTCATAGACATTAATTAATTAGCAAACCAACTTATTCGAAGGAGGAAGGGGCAGTCATACTAGAATAGGTGACAAAACTGGTTGTCAGTTCAAGTGTCAGGTAATTTTAAAGGAGAGCTACCAGACCTACCAAAGGTGCTTTAAAATAATTTTTAGGACCAAATTTTTACAATTTAGTGTCTGAAGCTAAAAAGCTGCATCCACATTTACTTGGTGTTTAGAGATGCAAAGTACTTGCATCGCCATACATTTCACTGGAAGGGGAAGGCATACCCTTTGTACTTTTGAACTCTCAGGCCCTGCACAGATACATACATATGTTTCTATAAGTCTAGCTTTAAACACTTACGTTTAAAACACTTTAAATTGGAGATCTGATAAATGTTAACGCTTGTCTCCTAACCAGGTATAATCTCCCATATAATCTTGACTTTGATTCTGAGTTGCACATGGATCTTTTTTCTAATATCTTAGATGCAGATATTATTATGTACAGGCAACCTTAATTTCAGCATTTAACTTTTCAGGGCTTGGCTTTGCACTATTAATACCATATTTACTAGCATAGCACACACATCCTTCCCCCAAAAAATCAGCTTCCCATAATTGGAGTGCATGTTTTAAACAGTGAAGCTGGTTTTGTGGCCAGAGTAGAAGCACCACACTTTGATTGCTGCTTGCAGCAGCACTGGTATTTCTATTAAGGCATCTGAGAGAGCCAATTGATTTAATAGCTCACAGTTCTTCACTCTACAGGTATTAATTATCTTCTATCCTTTTTAATAGTCTAGATATTCCCTCAATCAAGCTATCCTTTCTTCCGGCAATTTTGTTATGTTTAGCTACTCCTGGTCTCTCCCCTTATTTCACAGCTTTGCAGAATGTTTTTAGCAATTTTCAAAATTGTAGACCTAGCCATGGAGACCCACCTTCAGCAGCAGCTAAGATTTAAGCTTTTGCTTAATCAGGAAAGGAAGGGTGAGTGAGCTGAAGATTAGGCTCTGTCCCTACTCCATGCATCCATAACTCTGGGGGGGGGGAGATTCTTCATTTTGTTTTCCAAAAAACAAGGTGCGTGTCTTATTTGGGGGCATGTGGTATGCAATAATATGCATAATTAGTTCAATCATGCATGCGGTTATAATCTAATTAGCATTATTTTGCATACACAATTATGTAGTGGTTGGCGCTGGCTAATAATTTAAAGACTCAGTTCTCCTACCCTTCCACTGAGTTACCTCTTAGCTCCAGAAGCAATCCCACTGAATATCACAAAGGTGGCAGTGTTGGGACCTTAGTCTAGGAGGCATACCTGGTAATTTATAAGCACTGAATTAGCAATTTAAAACAATAACTAGCACTGGCTGGCAATGTGAAAACAATATATAGTAATGAATGTTTCAACAGGGAAACAGTGATAGCTGGAGGGTGTGACATGGTGTCTGTCTTCTCTATCAGAAGTTTATTGTTATTAAGATCATGCAACAAGAGTGTATCCCAAATAGAAATTACACAAATTGACTTTATGTTCAGTCTTTCTGTGGGATAAAAATCAAGATTTTATTGAACGCTGCGGGGAGAAAAAGAAAAACTGTTCTTGCCTAAAATTTTACCATATCAGTCCATCAGTATAAATGTCCTGTCTCTTGTATATTTTATACCTTACATATATAATATGTATATTATATAAATAACTACTATTTTTTTCTGAGTAAAAAAATAATTTGTATAAAGAAAAAATGTACAGTAATGTGCAGTAATTCAACTATATGATAACACTAGATTTCCATGTTTATGCCAGAAGCTTGGCAGAGGAAGTCTCAAATTTTCCTTAATAAATCTGCCATAGTATTCATTTATCATTTCACTTAAACATTAGTATGTTTAGAACATCCTAAGGGATTCTAATTGGCTGAGATTTTTAAATTGGATTGATGCTGCTAGTATATACCAAAGGATTCACATAAAAATAATGCTCCATTGGGAAACCTTATCAAAATATGTTCCTCTAATAGCAAATGTTTGGCCTAAAACTATGTGAAGCTGAATCTGGTGATTCTCCAGCTGATTTATGTCAGCAGCTGAATAAACAGCAACAAAGAGAAAGAATACTTGGTGGCCCATCTAACTGTCCAACAATATCTAGTCTCATTGACTGGGACCTAGTAATAGAGAATCATATGAATGTTCAAGGTGTAATTTTTTTTCCAAAAAATCCTCAAACATGATCTAATTTTGCCCTGTTCACATTGAAGTCCATGGTAAAACTCCTACAGACTTAAATGATAGAGTAAAGAAAACACCAAACACCTTTAAAAATAAAGTTTAACATTAGGTAAACACCAAACTTTTGACAAACTTTGTGATCCCACAAAATTGAACAAGAAATTGCAAAATAACCCTTCCCAAGATATTTCCAAGATGGTTAAAACCAGAAAGAAAAACAGCATTTAAAAACTGATTTTTTTTAAATTTACAAGCTGTTAAAGAGAGAACTCCACCGAGGCGCACACAGAAGCCTGACAAAAACATTGGCCCCCACTGATCTAGACTAACTGTTTATTTTAACTGGATTACTCCAGATTTAGATTAATGTAACTGAGAGAATAATTTGCCCTGAATTTTATGCTTAAAGGAGACAGGAGTTGCATATGCCTCAGATCGGTTGGAAACAAGTCCTTCAGAAACTGATGCACAGCAGTTATTAAGCTGGTCCCTAAAGCCAGAACTATAACACATTTTCTCTTTTTCTATACTCCAGATCTTAATACACAATTGAGAAACACTAATTTATGCTTGCAACTTTTAAGTTCTGAGTACAACAAAAATATGCACGAGTTAAGAAGAGAAGCAGAAGATTAATAAATGGCTCAATTGGCATTTGGAGGTACCCTCATATTGAAATAATAGTTGCCTATTGCTGGTGTTTAGCAGTTAAAAGAGACCATGGAAATCAACCGTTTGATTCTCAATTTCATACTGTGCCATACAATCAATTCTTTTTAGTCAGACTGTCTCTAGATTTACTTCTTAGCCATAGTAAAATGAGGAAGCTTTCATTAATCTTTCAGATGCTTCATATTAATGACAAGGCTCTTGCATGAACAATGTAACAGCAATTAAAAAGCCCATTAATCTGCATTACAGCTATTAAAGATGCATGTCATTAAAGGGTATGGAGTTTGATTCATTTTCGCACCCCCCCAAAAAATGGAGCAATTATGGTCTGGCAATGCACTTTGTCATCAAATTAGGTTGGGGTTTTCCAGCAAATGGCTTTGCAGCATTTAGCTCTTCTGCTGTTTTATTATTCATGACTGAAATGTGGAAGTCAAGACCTTTGAAATTACTTTACCTTCTTGTGGAGTGGAGATGTTCAATGCATGTGAGCTCTCAGTACAGCCAGCCAAAGTGCAAGCAGTTAGGGTTACAGCATAGTTTGTGAAGGGATGCAAGCCTGTTAACATGCCTACAAACAGGAAGAAGTCATGTGTTACCTATGTGTACACAAGGGTCTGCATGTTGGGCATATATAGTCATAAGACACTAATTTTTTTTTCTGAAATGCACTTAAAATGTTAAAGGAGAAGAGGATAAAAAAATGAAAATACTACATTTGTCATTTTCAGGGTTTTTTTTTTAAATAGAGTAGTTTTCTGTTCAGTACAAAATGGTAACAAATGTTAGATTTTTTTTCAGATTTGAGAAGTAAACCTTTAACACATTTGGCAATTAACTCAGCTTTTTTGTTCATTCCTTCCCCTGCTAAATTATTTTAGCTGTGAGTTTATTTTCCCCAAGTAATTTGTAACCTCACTCCTAAAACAAAATACATGTCTCCATCTCAGAAATTAAATACCGCTCTACCAGATTTCCCATTTAATCAAGCCCCTGTACCATATAAAACATATCATCCAAGTTCTGTTACATTGGTAGCACTGTATAATCCCAGGGTTTACTACTCCATTATTCACCTGATACAGTATTAAAGGACTCAAAAATACATGAATGTGGTTTTCAGGACCTGTTGGTATTATTAAAAAGAAGTGGCTAGAATCCTGCTCTAGATCTACCATGTGGCAAGACCAGTTCAGTTTTGCTCGTAGGCATAGAGGACAGACATTCATCCTAGCACACAGTTACATAGATGAACTTACTGGGAGATTGCTTTATAAAAGTTACACATACATTTTAAAATAAATTTTCAAAGTATTTCCTGTTCTCCTTTTCAAATCAGGTCAAATGGTAAATTACTGTGAAATGAAAATTCAGGAAATAAAAAGAAGGCAGACTTGCAAATTTCATTGTGGGTTATATTCATTGTGGTAATATTCTATATTATGCACTTGCTGGGCTTCCACTGAAATCTGTTAGCATCCACATCACCATCTAAGGTTAGTCAAACTAACTTTATAAGTCAAACTGCTATGTAATCATTGGTCCACTCCATCACCACCATTGGAATGATTGCATCTCTGGAAGCCACAGTCCTTGACTGAAGATTCCTTGTGTGCGGTAGCATGCAATATGGACTACTTCTTTTGGGTGACACATATGCTCGAAGTGGAAGAAAAGAACAGTGCCTACTGTCATTGGAACAGAAAAGGCAATAATCCTTTGCTCTTGAATGAGACAACAAGAAAGCAAAACTTCTTGTGATCCCTCAAAACTTTACACACATCAAAGCCCTGAAAGAGGCTTAATAGTGCTTAATATGCTTAATAGTTACAGATTTTTAAAAAAATAAATCAGACATGCTAAAAACTGAAATAACACATTAAATTTTTGGGCAGTCTGTCTTAGATGCATCTGGGCTGGGCCTAGTTTTGTCTTTTATGGAATAAAAATGAATAATCCAAAGAGCAAATGGATTCCCATATTTAGACACCACATTTTTTTTTTAATTCAAATGGAGATGTTCAAACCTTTTCTCAGATTTGACAAAAAAAAAAATCCTGGAAGTTCAGCATTTGCAATGATCTCTCTGTTTGCTTCTTCTGATTCTACTCTTGCTCAGACTGCTGTAAATCAGAGATAACTCTACTGACTTCGGCACAGTTATATTGTTCACAATTCTGCAAATCTTCTATTAATACTGGGAAGCCACACTGCCTCCTCTGACTCTCATGTAAATGTTACAGCAGATATACTGAAAGCAGATCAGGGTCAGCAGCAGCAACCCCAGTTTATTTGCCTGTAATCTTTCAATGATACAAGACAGCTATTTGAAAAAGCATCCCATAAGCATTACTGATGTTTTTAAGTGTTAGCATCTTGTGTAACACAGTAGTTCTGACATCTTTATTAACTCTTTGGCACCATCAGATGCAGAGATCTCATGGTTAGCACTCCATACTGACAGTGGCTAAAGAGGAAAGTAAAAAAAAAATACAGTTTGAATTATTGTCAGCCTATAAATAAGTGTCTGAACCAAAGCTGGCAAATGTGACATCTGCATGTTCACTGTAGAGGGAGATCTGGTAGGGTATATTTTGTTGTATGCTATGGCTGCCTATACACGTGTGGGGGGAGTAGGGGGTGTGTTTTAATTAAAGCAATTACCGGACAGCCACTGTAATAAATACTGCTCATCATCACGTGTATTAAGCCCCACAGCATTTCAAAATAGCCATGGGATGCTTTATCTAAAGCTCATTCAATGAGGTTTAGAAGAAAGTGCCCTTATGGCCAGTATGAAATGTGCAGTGACTTAATACACGTGATGGTGAGGTGACGCTGGACCATTATCATTAGAACAAGGACCAGACTCTAATCAGGTCTGCTTTGATGCCTTCTAATTAGAATGCGAATGAGCACATCTATAGGTACTCATATATGTTCCTATTCACTTTGTGCTCTGCTCTGCTTTGGGATGCAGTTTAGTTTTATTTGTACATTTAACAGTCACGGTGTTTTTATGTGATAGTGAATTAATGCTCCTTGTATTTCTTTTGGGAGACATTCTGTGGGGATCACCAATGGCTTCAGGCACCAAGAGCAGCAAACAGTACATTCAGAAAGATGCCCCCAGCACTGGAGGGGTTGTTTTTTTTGACAAAGTAGAAAAAAATTGACATTCTGTGTCCATGCAGCATCACATTTTACATTGTGTATCATTCAGCAGGGAAGTGCTTTTAAAAAAATAAAATATCTTTTTGTTTAAAATGTATTCAGTCAAGACTTCTATAAAGAAATTCTATTTTGACATTTATATTTGACTCCTTTGCTTCATATATAAATGCATATGATTTTGCCAGCAACAAAGAAACAGATGTGTTGAATAGGTGAGCAATAGAAAGTGCAGTTTTTTATTTACATACTTCAGCAAACTACTTTTTTTCTCAGCTGCCAACCTAGCTGTTTGGCCAGCATCCACTGTAATCTGTTCTCCTTCATTATGTTAATCTGTGGGCGGAAAGATTTCTGTCATCTTCAAATCGCTTGTACAGCAATGGTAAACACCTTGGCCTGTCTGTAATTGGACAGGTGTCTGCATTGGTGTCACCCGGCTTTTAATTCAATTAAAGAACTGGCTCCTCTACTCTCATTACCCACTCATTTCCTCTGCACTTTTAGTCAGCAGTGAAATTTACACTCAGCACTTGACTATCTTAGAGTACAAAGTCAGCAGTCCCATAACAAAGATCATCATTGCTATACACACATTGATTTATAGCGGAGCAAAGTGTATTTTGCAATGCTAGTTTTACACTGCCCTGAGAACCCAGTTGAAAGTGGTAGGGGATTCTTAATGCTTTTTCTTAATCCTTAATTTGTACATTATTATATTAGCGTCCATTACTTATAGTTGATAATTGATGTGCAGGATAATAGCTCACATGACTGCTTCAAAAAGTGATGCTAACAGAGCAAGTTCTGTTCTTAGTTCAGTGCATATAGCTTCATTAATACCAACAGGAGATGCCTGGCTGAACCAGCAGGTAGTTCAGGATGATGGTTACATGGCACAATCAATACTGCCTGGAATTTGGGTATACCAGTTCTGTAATGTAGTCAACCTCCTTCCTTTGAGTTGAGTTCCCCAGTTTTGTTCAAGCTAAATATGCTCTTGCAGTTGTAGTGCAGTTGAATTTTTGGGGGTCTTAAATTTATATCACAGAATAAGTTCCAAGCATTAAAATCCACATAGTGGATTAGAGACAGTAAATCAATCCAATGAACCACTCTTCCTGCCCACTAAAACGAACCTCTGGAAATAAATTAAAGTTCTAACACAGACATTTTGACACAATGACCCCATGAAACTGAATAATGTCATTCGTTAAATATGGATGTAAAGTTAACAGTCTTAAGAGTGATCTGGAATCACACCTAGAACATTAAGACCAATTGATATGCAAAATTAGTGTTTAATTTTCTGTACCTCTTCAAATGATCTCTCCCTAATATTAGTATTTGTTTAGGAAATAAAACATGAGGTTCATTCTCACTTTATCTTAACTAAGGGAAAATAAGCACAGAAATGAACAGCAGAAAAGGGTCTATCACAGCATTTGCCTACCTTTTTTCAGCTGCAAAGCTACTTTTAGGGGGGATAATTCTGTGTAAAAAAACATTAAAAAAGAAAAAAAAATTATTGCTGCTTTTAAGCAGAAGGGGGGAAGAACAAAATTTGCCTTAGCTGCCTACTTTCCCAGTGCCCACAATTACTACAGAGTATGCCCTGGTTACTCAGAAGATAGAGTCATTGCCTTGGTGTAGTTTTCAGTTTTATAAAGGGGTAACTCCAAGCAAGGGGACAATTACACCACAGAGCAACTGAGACACAGTGGCTAAGTACAGACAGTCAAAAAGCCCAAGGTTGAACTAATTCAATCTTTGCAGGTTAGTCTAAACTGTATAGATTGAACCAATAAGCAAGTGAACACACATTCAGTTTTGATTCTGGAAATGCAGTCACGTGTCTGCAGTGGCTCAGGCCAGAAGCCAGAAGGACATTAGAGCATGCCTCCCTGCTCAGCTGCAGCAGACAGCTTGGGCCAAGGCTAGCCCACCCACCTTGAGAGGAAGGGGTTTGCAGGGAGGTGTAAAGCATCCTGGGATGCTGGGGGACCGTGAGTTAACTTGAATCTGGAGGGGATCCAGGGCAGAAGTTCAATAAACCAATTTAACCTAAATCATTTAAGTCAGATACTACATCTTTCCAGGTTTATTTGAAACCGGTTTCAGTCACTTCACATGAACCATGTCCATTTTCCCCAGTTTCATTCAGGGCTGTTGCCAGTTTAGCTCTCTCCACAAGGTAATTGGGGACAAAAGGAGTTACTGTGATATAAGACCCTCCCCCCCCACCCCCCCAACACACACAGAGACCTACTAATTAAGGAAATAGGAACTGTGCCACATAATAAATGATGGGATAAACTTGGCAGAACAATGGTTTCAGCTTTTGCGTCCCCAGTTAATTGGGAATGGAGACCTATCTGTGCTTCAGCCACAATGTGGTAC